CGCGGTCTCGACTCTCAGTTTTCGACCTCAACGGTCTCTCGACTCTCGGTTTTTGACCTCTGCGGTCTCGACTCTCGGTTTTCGACCTCAACGATCTCTCGACTCTCGGTTTTCGACCTCCGCGGTCTCGACTCTCGGTTTTTGACCTCAACGGTCTCTCGACTCTAAGTTTTCGACCTCAGCGGTCTCGACGATCAATTTTCGACCTCAACAGTCTCGACTCTCGGTTTTCTCCACGGTCTCGACTCTCGGTTTTCGACCTCCGCAGTCTCGACGCTCGGTTTTCGACCTCCGTGGTCTCGACTCTCGATTTTTGACCTCCGCGGTCTCGACTCTCGGTTTTCGACCTCTGCGGTCTCGACTCTCAGTTTTTGACCTCAACGGTCTCTCGACTCTCGGTTTTTGATGTCCGCGGTCTCGACTCTCGGTTTTCGACCTCAACGGTCTCTCGACTCTCGGTTTTTTACCTCCGCGGTCTCGACTCTCGATTTTCGACCTCCGCAGTCTCGACTCTCGGTTTTCGACCTCCATGGTCTCGATGCTCGATTTTCGACCTCCGCGGTCTCGACTCTCGGTTTTCGACCTCCGCGGTCTCGATGTTCAGTTTTTGATCACAACGGCCTCTCGACTCTCGGTTTTCGACCTCCGCGGTCTCGACTCTCAGTTTTCGACCTCAACGGTCTCTCGACTCTCGGTTTTCGACCTCCGCGGTCTCGACCTCGGTTTTCAACCTCAGCGGTCTCAACTCTCAGTTTTTGACCTCCGCGGTCTCGACTCTCGGTTTCTCAACGGTCTCTCGACTCTCGGTTTTCGACCTCCGCGGTCTCGACTCTCGGTTTTCGACCTCAACGGCCTCTCGACTCTCGGTTTTTGACCTCCGCAGTCTCGACTCTCGGTTTTCGACCTCAGCGGTCTCAACTCTCGGTTTTTGACCTCTGCGGTCTCGACTCTCGATTTTCGACCTCAACGGTCTCTCGACTCTCGGTTTTCGACCTGAGCGGTCTCGATTTAATTTTTGACCTCAGTTGACGTTCGACTTCTGGTGTTCGACTTCAGTGGCAAGTCATTAGGTTCTTGTCCTTATTGACAAATCTTTCGGTTTTCGACCCCGACGTCAGATCATTCGGTTTTCGATCTTGAGATCTCAAAGCTCATTTGGAGGATATTTCAGTGGTTATTCAATGGTCATTCGACTTTCGATGCTCGATCTTAGTGGCAAGTGGAAGAAAACAGCTCGAAGAGGCATTTCACTCTTGGATCGAGTTATGTTTACTCCACCAGAGTGGGGGGACTAGATGATATAGGATATCATACTGGACCCGGTTTAATGGATAAAGCGGATACATATTGAAGGATAAGCCCACTATGACATCCAAACCCAACGATAGGGGTTAAGCCCAACTTTGGCCCAAAAGGTATACGCCCCCTATAAAAGGGGGCCAAGGTACCTCATTCTCTCATTCTCTCCTCATTTCATTAACACACTCTCTCTTAATCTGAGCGCTAACTTAACCATCGGAGGCCCGACGCCGGGGCCACCCCCGGCGTTGGGTTCTGCAAGTGCGGAGGCCGTTCGAGTTGAAGGAGCCCGGGTGAAATCTATTCACTTCAATATATATTTAAAAAATTAATATAGCATTTATGTGAAAAATTTTAAGAGGTTTGATATTTCACAAAAACAAGTATCTATTACTGTGCACATGCACAGTGACAACTAAAAATTTATATATTATGCGTGTGCATACGATATTTATAATTTTAAATTAAATAATGGATGTATTACATTTTATTGGTTGTATGCAAGTGTACAATATAAATGCAAATTATTTAATTTACTTTTGAATCTTATATTGTGACATAGATTTTAATGGGCAATGTAATTTTGATATTTAGAGGGACCATACAATTAATTGGTTAGAAAAGTATTACAATTATTCTTATCATTGTTATAGAAATTGTTTGCGTGACTTTAAGGGATTTAAACATCCATGCCAACTAACTAATACTTTAGAAAAAACATTTGATAAGACAAAAAAAATAATATTTCGTGCAAAATAAGTATCTTAATTAA